ATAGAGCGACAGAGAGGACTAATGAAGCGCAAGAGTGGGGGAAGTTATCCGTCGCCACTTTTTGCCTCATCCCCACTACCGCTATTGGCATGAGTTGATCCTCCTTAGTTCTAGTCTTCTTGCATGGTGCAATAAAGAAGAGGTGTGCTCGTGAGGTACATCAAATTTTGACGCGTTCTGCGCATATATTGGCGTTGGAACAAGTCTTCCATGTTGGAAAATCATAGCAAAGAAAACAAAGAGACTGACGTATCATTTGTAATATGTTTTTCTAAAAAAAATGGTGGCATGCAACGTTAAGGAGTGTAAAAATTGCAGTGAAAATGCGAAAGTAAAAAAATTAAGTTTTTTTTCGTTCCCAAAAGATAGTGACATTAGCAAAGTGGATGAAAGCTTGTGGCAAGGAGATTAACCTCAAAAGTAGTAGATATATAAATTAAATATTATTAATATTTACAAATTTATTTGTTTTTTTCTAATAAATTCTGATAAAGCATTTTATTTATTTATCTTCACTCTTTTCATATGTATAAATAATTTAATAATATTATTAATTGGAAGGGATTTGTAATAATTATTATTAAATTATTATTAATAATAAAGTCACAATAATAGTGCTCAACAAAATAAAGTCATTAATTGTCATTTCCTTATTTAAATTATACCACGTTTTGAGTATCTCAGAAAAAACGCTGATTGGCTGATATATTATTATAGCCGGTCACTTGTTCCACCGTCCTCATTAATTAGGGCCACTGTGTTTGAAGCAAACAAAATGACAAATGCGATTGGTCAATTCCAATGGACTAACTGGCTAGTTAAGTTAACTGAGCTTGGTGACAATGGCCCTTGATCATCTTTTTGCGCAACAGCACACCTCTTCTTAGACTGTATTCCAAATTTACTGCCAGCACTGGAAATGCTACAGTTTACGTTACGTGCATTATAGATTTTCAGTACTGGCAATTTTGGAACACAGCTTTTATTAAGCCTTATGTCCACGATGCTAGAAATTGGTCCGAGATCTCGGAGAGAGAAAGAATTAACCAATTACATTTAAACAATTTAGTCACATGATCAATGCGATTGGTCAATTCTTTCTTCATCCGAGATCTCGGACGGATTTCTAGCATCGTGGACACTGGGCTTTACACCATAATCGTATCTCTTTTCTGTCAATATTCCGTTCCGTTGTTTCTTTCTCCATGGGAAGGCAGCCTGAGGGTCTCTAAACGCACCTATGTGTATAGCTCTATAGAGATTGTGATCTATGATTGAGAGTTCACTTGATTACGCTGATACTTTTGTCACAGACTGTACACGGGCATTTAGCATTCGATTGACAGAGGTAGGCAGTAGGTAGCAGCAGGTAGGTAGAGTAGGGATACAGTATTTGTTAGACTCTTTCGCGGTATGGTTATGATTAGTGCCGGTCCGCAAGTATAGTAAAATAAAGTAGTTTTCGCGATGCATCGTCACCAGATGTATAATTGACAGGCATTAAGTCATTATCTGAGCGAATTGCGGTAAGTCCCGAGTCGCTTGCTAATTATTCAATATTTTTGTCAAATATGCGAAGAATATGTTCCGTCCAATGTGACAAGCGTTTTGTTCTCCAATTCGATAGTGTTGCTAACGGACACAGTTTGAACGACATAATAATTTGTTAAGATGGCATACAGACCTTTAGAATGATTTATTCTTCAAGCGATGATCTTTTTTCCTAAACCATCGCATAAACAAATTTAATAGTTCAGTATTATGTATATTTAACTTTTATAATAATTATCGTGTGTCATAAAAAAATATTTTCTCTTACGTTACACTCTCTTATCTTCAGCGATCCTGTATCTTGGTTTTCGAGGTTTGCACGCGAGCAATACTAACGTTGATAGTGTGTTAGCATTGATTTTTCAAAATTCTTATACTTTAGTCAGTGTTCAAGAGACGCACATAAACCTTACAAAATCAATGCTACATATTTGTTCGTTATTATCTAAATCAAAGTGTATTTTACACAATCAACGAATTCGTGTTTCTCTCGTATTTTGTTTTAAATGCAATCATAATTTTCCTTTCAGTGAAATAAATTCAAAATATCCTTTTTTTTTTTTTATAGAATCTCAAATTTAAAAGTCAGTAATATAAAAATTTGCTTTCTCAAATCAATTTAGTTTACTAATAATTTAAAAAAGATTTTTTCTTACCATTAGTTAAGAATATTCGATAATTTAAAATAATTGAAAAAATTACAGATTATTCTAATGCCCGTATTCATAGTCAGGCCTTATATTTAAGGCCTGACTATGAATACGGACATAAGGATGCGTTCCATTTAACATTTGTAACATTTGTGAGTATCATTTCATGTTGTTATCGTATCCTAAACAAGGATGAAATAATGCATGCGAGCGTTGCGAACGTTAAGTGGACGCACCCTAAATCTTACCCTATAAATCGATACAGTTATGTATTTTTTAACAAGAAATAGTATTTTTTAAATTTATATGTTCTAATAGAAATGTATGAAAATGTATTATAAAATAAATGACAAAAATTTTAATTTTTTTATACAAGTACTTTATATATTGAAGATTATTTATGTGAAGTTATATTGCGATGCAGAAATTAGTTATCCAGTAAATAAACAAAATATTTATTTGTTCTCGTTGTAACTAATCGGTAAATCGCAATGAAACTTTGCGTATAAGTCATTTTGAATACTTAAAGTATTTGTACAAAAATATTACAATTTTTTAATTATTTTTTAAATTTTATTTTATAACAAAAATAAAAAATAAAGTAAATAAACAATAAAAATGTGTTGTTTAATAAAAACAAAACATTATGAACACGGTTTTTATATGTATGTAGTTTGTTTAAAGTATAAATATGAATATATACAAATATGTCTATCAAACATCCTTAATTGCGTTGCATAATTGCGTTCGAAATCAGAAAGCGTGAAGCCGAGACAGCTGTCTTTCACAGAACGTACCTTTAAATCGAAGAGAAATCGTTAAAATTTAAATTTTAATGTTAAATTGCCATAAAAATATTTATAGCGGCTGTAATATGTTACTGTTTTGATTCTTTGCTTATGTGAACATGTAAATTTAAACAATAAGAATTTTATTTTTAGACCGTACATGTGAGAACACAACCAATATGAACTAGAAATTAAATGCCTATACCGGTCGAAGCTGGATCTTTAATGCTTAAATAATTCAGTGTGAATTATAAATATACAGGGTGTCCCATAATTCACCTGACAACGCTCGTGGGCAAGTAGAGCGGACTAAACTGAGTCGAAAAGTCCTCTACTATTTTGTAATTTTCGCAATCGATAGTTTCCCCCCGAAATATATAATGAAAGTGTCTATTTTTCTCTACGCCCTACAACCGGAGATACTGCAATGTAAAGTTTTGATGTGTCCGACTTCTGTGATTTCGTTTTAAGGGGATGCTGTAGGCCTATTCTGTAATTTTTTAACGACAATTTTACTAGCTAGGGATGTCGTTGCGCAGATATTTTACATGGTGAAAAAACTGCGCAACGACAATATAACGATACCGAACTGTCGTTAAAAATTACAGAATAGCCCTACTGGAGTGGCCAAATTGTCGGAACTTTGCAGATTGATATAAATCTTCGAATTTATTGAACGGAATCAAAAATCCTTTTACAGGATTAAAGTAGAAGCAAAATTTGATAGTGCTGCAATAGACTTTATACTAAAATCGAAAAAAAAGTTAAAAACTTACATTTTTTCAATTCACTTTTTTAAAACTCACCTGACGTAGATGTTTCTTTAATACAAAAGTTTTATAGCTCGTATGGTTCAAACGACATTGCAGCACTAAGCGTATTACGTGTACAAACAATACTGAGTTTATGAAATTAACAAGGGGAAGTTTCAGAATGACCCTCACCGATTTCAATGAAACTTGATAGGATTGTAGAGTGTGTTCCCCTGAATAAAAATCACCCCCCATTCACCTCCCCTCCCCCGCGTCCAATAATATAGTTGTATGGATTTTTGTGCCATTCCAGATCATTTCTTCCCAACAATTGTAATACGATAGATTATAACCCATGGAGGCTGTCATGCACTATTTTAATAATTCAATTCAATTCAAATTATTAGTCCGTATGTTAAAAGTAATAATTTAAATAGTCATAATAATAACATTAAAACGTATAACTAAATAATAAATGAGAAATAAATAAATAATACATAATAAATAAATGATTTGAAATTATCACAATGATAAAAACTGATGTATAACTGAAATATACCTGGATTATGCTGTAGATTTTTAAACGTGAAATTTAATAATAGTCGCTTCAATATAAATTCGAAGAAAATATGTTACTGCACACTCAGACGTGTGTAGTAGGAGCCATGTGTTAAATGACCGAGAACAAATGAGCAGCAGACTTTAAAAATGCGTTTTGCTCAAAATTTATAATTTTCGGAATACGAGAAAAAAAGAAACTATGCACACAAGAAAATTATGCACTTTACTGAAAATAACAATATGCCAACCAGTAGGATGTAAAATATAAAACAAAATTGTTAAACAATTGCTGAAAATGTTAAACAAATGCATTTTGTTTGTCTAGTTAAAAAATATAATACACTTCGAGAGAGAGAGAGAGAGAGAGAGAGAGAGAGAGAGAGATGTCTGTTTTTTCAGCATATAAATTAACGATGAAAAAATGCTTTCTGAACATTTCAGAGTAGCTTATAATCTGAGTCTTTTAACACTGAACACTATGCCATCTCTCTAACTAAAAAAATGAAATTTTAGACAAAACCCATTTCGAAAGTCTGCTCCTAATATACATATAGTTAGAACAGTGAGGAAGTGTAGAAAGAAGGGGATAGCTTTAGGAAGGGGATAACTTTTGTAAGATGAGGAGATACATATCCGATAATGACTCCTTATCATTTTGCTTATTTAATCCAAAGTTTTGTATTTTTATGCACCATTTCTGAAATCAATCTTTTATTGTAAGATGGTTCATTATCTAGTTGTATTTTTACATCGTGCCATTTAAATTCGTGTTTGAAATTAAGTTTGTGATTTGTAATTATCGAGGGCGATCCTATTTTCTTATTGATATCAGAATAATGCTCATGTACTCTAGTGTGGAGTTGTCTTTGTGTCTGACTTACATAGGATGTTTAACAGTCGTGACAATATATTTTTTATACTATATTAAATATTAAGATATTTAATAAATATTAAGACATTTATAAGATTTATAAGATTAAATATTAAGATATTTAATAAATATTAAAACATTTATAAGATTTATTAGAATACTTACAAAATACATATCAAAATATATTTTAATATATATATTTTATAAATATTCTAATAAATCTTATAAATATTTTGTAAATGCTTTATAAATATTGTGTTGTCTGGGTATATGGATATAATGTATATATCAATACTTATGTTATCATTACATGCCATTTCCTTGCTCGCATATAGTATGACAATTTTATGTATAGTTTTCTGTTTTATTTCAGATGAATTAAGATGTCCCAAAGAAATACTGATGTAGCAGGAAGATTGGACTTGAAACGTTCGAAAGAACTCATGTCGTCTTGCAGCCTGTCTGGTATGTTGCAGCTATCCAATAACAGCGAAGAAACATTAAAGACCTTGGTACACAAATCTCATAAATCTGATAATTTAGAAAAGTGAGTTACTTGTGTGTTACGTACATAATATATTTATTAAGACTATCGAATTTTCTTATAATTATTCGACTGTCATTCAACTCGATATTTCTCACGCGCGCATACGCAATGTGTATGTATATTAATCAAGTTTTATATTTTGTATCGTGATATTAATTCTTTCCTGTTATCCTTCATTACAGTCTTTTAAAAAAAAATTATTTAGTATCTTTAATATTTAATATCTTATTTCCGTTCTTTTGATCTCTCTTGGATAAATAGCTTCATATATGTATACAAGATTGAAAATCATATACATTGTGTGTGCGTGCGTGCGTGCGTGCGTGCGTGCGTGCGTGTGTAAGTGATAAAAACAAAAAAATCAGCGTGGAATTAGTATTAACGCGAGTTGGTTTATTTTCCCTTAACCTTCAGCTGGAGCATTTATCTGACTCGAGATTCTGGAGCACTGGATGTGGTGTGTGTGAAGCTAGCGTCTTACTTGATGGAAACTCATTAAATATTGGGTGCATTCAGTACTACAACTGCTCACTGAGCGCTCAGTGAGCTCTTGCATCTGATTGGCATATTCCGTTAAAACTAAAAATATAGACCAAACAGATACAAGCGCTCACTGAGCGCTCAGTGAGCGGTCGTGGTACTGAATTCACCCATTGAGACTTTGTATTTTTAATAGTTCTATATAGGTTAAACAAATAATTCCGACCATTAAAGCCGAGAAATCGCAAATGCAAAATGAGACGCCAGGTTCACACAGCGCTAACTTTGTCTAACGAAGGTTCCAGCCACATTTTTTTTGTAGAATTTGAAAAAATATTAAGATACATAGTTCCAAAAGGAATTCTGACGATTAACATTGCTATTTTAATTTTTAAACAATATTTTCCCTTAAAAAGTACAAGTAACAAGTTTTTGCGGGAACAAAGATAAGACGATTAATATCACGACGTCCAATTTTAAAGAGTTCTGATAGTTCTGTGATAATTCTCGTATAGTTCGAATATATTCTAACGTAATTCTAACGTTTTCTAAAGAGTTTTATTAGTCATGTATTAGGAGTGTGATTTAGTTTTGAGTTTTGCAAAAATGGCACTAATGTCAATGTTGTAGAAGACGTTCTAATAATATTATTTCTTAATTCTTTAATATTAGATATTCTGTGATATTTAAGCTGTGTTCCAAAATTGACTGCCAGTACTGAAAATCTATAGTGCACGTAATTTAAATCGTAGCATTTTCAGTGCTAGCAAATAAATTTGGAACACAGTCTTAGTCGTTTACTAATAACAGACGCAATAAAAAAAAACATCATGTTTTATATATTATTTAAAAATGGAGCTTCCTAAAGAGCATTTTCGTTGTGCTTTTGTTTTTTAATCGAAAGAAAACGGCGGCTGAAGGTCATAGAATTTTGATAGAAATTTATGGTGATGTTGCTCCATCAATTAAGGGGATCCTAAAGCCGTCTGTATTACCGACTAAATCGTAATTTTTGTATAACAAATACTTTTTTTCTCTTTTACAGATTCAAAAATCCTTTTCCAGGATTAAAGTATACATATTAATACGTGTTTGTGAAGTGGAGTTTATGTCGAGAGCGACAAAAAATTTTTCTTAAGATTTCAATTTCGAAATTTTTCGAAGCTTTCAAAAACACTATAATAAAGTTACTTTTCGTTAAGTACAATACTTTCCGAATTATGGAGCTTGAAAGTTACAGTCCCGCCGACGTTATCGCATGCGCGTGTGAGCAGGATTAGTTGGCCGAATCAGTCCCAATCTTGCCTTAATCGGCCGGATCAGTGATCGGTCTTGCCTTATAACTTAACAAGTACTTAACGAAAAGTAACTTTTTATAACTTTATTATAATGTTTTGGAAATCGAGAGCTTTCCAAGCTCTCGAGATAAGCTATAAGAATATGTAATAAAAAACAGGAGTTTCCATTTAAAAAAACATTAATGACCTTGACCTGATTTTGACAAGGTCACTCAAGGTCAAGTCCAATTTCCATCATATATTCTCCTTCAAGCCATGCAACTTTCGTTCGAAAAATTTTTCAATAAAATCATCGATTCGCGAGATAATCGACTATATCACTTAAAATGAAACACCCTGTATATATATATATACATATTTACATATATATATATATACATATGTATGTGTAATATTTTATTAATATCTTTTTTGTAGCACAACGAATGCAAGAAATGCAATAAACAACGAATGGTTATTGAATGGACCAAATGGAAGCAAGATGCCCGTTTTACGCTTTAAGTAAGTTGATGTAAGAATATCTTTGATGATCTTTATTTTTAACACGCATAGAAATATTTAAGCAACTGTATTTTGCTTGTTTCTCAGATGTTCCGCTTTAGCCACGCCACCAGAAAACCCACCTGCGAAGCAGCTACACATGACTTACAAGATCTTTCAAACTGACACTAAACTCATTAATCTTCTGCTGCAATCACATGGTTTAATGGAGGTACAGTTTTAGTAATATATTGTTTTATACATACAGTTAATTTTTATATACATGTATATAAAGTATACCGAATAATTAAGCTTCAAGGCCATATTTTTTTGTATATTTTCTGATTTGTCGTGCCAATAGTTTTTGTATTTCAATATTACGCACATTTAACTCTCTGTGTTATATAAATCAGTCATATAAATCAGTCATATAAATCAATCGTTTAAACAATATAAATTTTCATTAAAAAGTTGATGAAGATAGCCAGTTTGAATATTATACACACGCAATATATGTTTTTCGTACTTTATCGCTGATATAACGAAGTAAGATTAATATTCATTTGTTTGAATAACAAAAACAGTCGCTCAGAATAAGAATAAAAGAATTATAAGTGAATCGAATTTGAAAATAATCCTAAATAACATGTTTATTTGATGACACATTAAAAAGCTATTTTCTCCAAAAATTTTAAAGATTTCCGCAAGAAAAAATGTATAAAACATTAATGAAGAAATAAAGAAAATAAAATGAACCATTTTTGTTTATTTCTTATACAATTCTCAACATTAAGAAACATTCAGGAGAAAAACTTTTTTATTTTGTCTTTGCAAATAAAAATTGCTATATCTTTACTTTTAGGTACCTATGAATGAGACAGATTTTAACATAATATGGATGGGAAGTCATCCAAAACCGGACATCTTGCGAAATTTGATGCCTTATCAAAAAATAAATCATTTTCCTAGGTAAGAATGAATTATTAAGAAATAGTTTTCATAATCTAAGATAATACTTTACAGATTTAAACAGTCACGAAATAAGCTCTTGGAACAATTTAAACTTTGATATTTTTTATTTGAATCTTCATAGAATATAATATAAAATCTGAATTGTTATTAATTTGACCTTCCTTGAAAATCTATTTCTTAGGTCGTACGAAATTACCCGAAAAGATCGCCTTTATAAAAATATCGAAGCTATGCAAAGGAGTAAGGGCCTTCGAAATCTCGATTTTATACCTCAGACATTTCTACTGCCTACTGAAGCCAGAGAGTTGATTTCGGCGCATTTCAGGTATAGAGGGCCTTGGATTGTCAAGCCTAAAGCTAGTTCGCGAGGGCGTGGCATTTACATTGTCAATAATGTAAGGACACACTTCAGTATTTTATGAATTTTTTATATTATTTAAACTGTCGTTAAGTAAAAGCAATCTTACATAAATATATTAAGAGAGTTTATTACTAAAAGTTTCTTATAATAATAATTATAATTATTTATGATAGTTATTTCGGTAATTATTCGGATCAACAGACACCGTGCCGATGACCTTGATCTTGACATATGTTGTCAAGGTCATGACCATAAGTGATCTTCAAAAGGTTTTAAGTGGCGGTCACTGTTTATTCATAGGTTATTAACAAATAAAGTAAAAAATAAGACCTCTTGGTAGGAGGGGAGGTGCGGTGGGTCCTGCTTCGCGTAGAAAGTTGTGCGTTTCTACGGAGGGGAAAGGTGGGGTGGACCTCTCTTCGCGTGGAAAGTCTTAAACCCGTCAATATATATCATGACCTGAACAACATATGTACGCCAAGGTTAAGGTCATCGGCGCGGTGTCCGTTAATCCGAAATCAAAGTAGGAGTTCCATTAAAAAAATTGAATCCGTCACTATTGGTTACATTCTTTTTATCTATACTTCTTCGTTTCTTACATACTTTTCGCCATAATTGATTGTTTTCAGAATATTTTAACATTTTGCGATTTTTAGAGGATCCTATACATGTATACATATCTTAAATGATTTTACATGTCCTAGAAGATTTTCTTTTTTAGTTTATCAATCCCCTGGGGATTGGTAAACACAGGGGACAAAATGATCCCAACATTTTAGTCGATTGCGATATTTACAGCTTTTGTTCTTTAAAATCGCAAAAATTACTGAATATACTTTAAATATTACAGAATATGGAAATGCAGTGGCTTTTTCTAGTTTTTAATTTTAACATATTAAAAAAAATCTCAAACGTTGACGTCTAAGGAACAATATCCTCTAGGCGCCTCTAGGTGCAACAAGGCAATTTTGAATTTCGGATAAATGGCAGTTTAAGTTCTGTTTTAAAAAAAGACCTTAGAAACATAAAGCCTCACACCTTTTTGGGGTCTCCTGGGCTCTAGGTGACCACGAAGGGTTAAAATAGAACTATGATTTTTTTTTACATAATATGATTCCTCTAAGTATTCAAAAATATTAATATAGTGTTATTTATAAAAAATCGCGATCTCCGATCGTAGGGCACGTAGGAAAAAAATAAAAACACTTTTATTATACAATCCGAGCGGTAGCTATCGATTGAGCGTATATAGAACTTGATCAGTTCAGCCGTTATTGAGATCCGATAATCTCAATACCCGCAATTCGCTGTAAAGGAGGCATGGCAGTGTCGCTGCGCTTGGCTTAGCGCCGAGACACTACCGTGTCCCCAGATATCGTTAAAATGTAAAGCTCTAAGATCCTTTTTGATCAAGTATAGGAATTCTCTTATTTAACAAAAGTCGTTAGTTTTCGAATTATTTTATGTATACTTTATTTTGGCATATATTCACACGAAGTATAAAATATCTCCTAAACTATTAGTTTTTTAATAATCGTACCTTAATATTTTTATGCATAAAATAATGAGATGAATCAAGATTGAACTCAATTACATATACTTATTCTTATTTAAATGACTTATTTAAAAAACTGTAATAAACATTTTTTTTTTTTTTTTGCGAAAAATATTACCTCGACTGGGAGTCGAACCCAGATCTCTATCATTCCGTGCGAGCGTCCTAAGCCTTTAGACTACCGAGAGAGGTCTTAGTAATATTATTCTTCGCCGATATGTATAGAGAGTTACGCATTGAAAGGCGAGCTTGTATAAATAATCTTTTACAAAAAGTAAAAAAAGACGCCAAGTGTACGCGCTTGTATGTGCTTCTTGAATAAAAATGACTTTGTGTTCCAAACTAGTAAGAAAGCAAGGAGAACTCTAACTCACAAATACAGCAATCAGCAAGCGGCGCTCACGGCACGGGGTCCCATAACGTAGAAATTCTGGAGTTCGAAGGAGAAGAGAGGGAGAATTACGTCGTTAGGAAAGGGATCTGCGGGGAAAGTTTTGCTCTTTCTCTCTCTCGACGTAGACGTTTCCTTACGATAGAAGTTTTATAGCTCATACAGACAAAACGACAGTTCAGCACCCAGCGTTTTACACGCACAAACAATACTGAGTTTATGAAACTGTAGATTAAAAGCTTAAAAAGAAAGATTTATATCGATTTGCAAATTACGTGTATACAAATGCTGAGCGAAGACTCGGAATGGTAAACAAAGCAGTAATTGTGTCTAGCAGTAGGTATTCGATCTTGCAAGAGATGGCGTTACAATATGTTAGATAAGGACAGATATATGCGTTTGAATGAGACAGAACGATGATGTAAGAAATGAATTAAAAGTGTCACTATTATCGACTTTTTATTTTGAATTTAAAAAATCTGTAGGTACTATCAACCACTATCGACATCGATCAAGTTCATTCGTCACTCGAGCCAGCATCCCCTAAAGCCGTAATCACACTAGCGATTGCCGATTGGATTGAGATTGCGATTGGTGATTGCGATTACTTTTCAACCAATCAAAGCAAAGCAGTAACCGATTGAGATCCGATTGAGATTAATGACTGCCGTTTAGACAATGCTCTATTTTCTAATCGTTAATCGCAGTTGTCGGCCAATCGTAGCCAATAAAATATTGTGATTTTAATCACGTGATACCAAAGCACATGTGTCTCGATAATACAATATATTAAATTGTAGTCTAAAGTGTCACACTTGATACAAGGATATAAGTTTATGTGTATAATGCCTAGACTGAGTTCTAGACTGAGTTCCAAGAAAAGGTTATGATGTAATCCTTTCTCCTTTCTTCTTGCTATTCATCGATGCATCCAAATTCTCTTGTTGGTATTACTTGCAAGGAGCATAATAATTATCACAATCAATTCTTGCTCGTGCAGTTGCCAATATTTCTTGGCATTTTTTCGATGCTATTTTTCACAGACACAATATATTAGCGGCCACAATTCTTACAATCGTCAGTGTTGGTCAGTGTGATTGAATGATTGTAGATCGCCAATCGCCAATCGCAATCGCAATCTCAATCGCCAATCGCTAGTGTGATTACGGCTTTAAGGACGTTCTCCGAAAAATCCATTTTCTTTAGATTTTTCTGAAACTTACAGAAAAAGCTTGTTTTAGTGTCCTGAACATGTGCTTTAAAACTCAATACCCGGAGCGGGATCATTTTTGCGCTTGTGCTCAACCTAAAGTTTACTCGCGTCCACGCAGTCGCCTCCATACACAGAAAATATAAGTTGAGTACCACTCCGCTCTTTCGCTCCGCCCCTTATGTGTAAAACAAGCTTTTTCTGTAAGTTTCAGAAAAATCTAAAGAAAATGGATTTTTCGGAGAACGTCCTTAATGATATGACTCAGCAATGATTTTAATTTAGCAACTAATTATAATATTTTTAAATTACTCTTGGATATACAATTAGCCAATAGTATACTTATTGATAAATATGATGACAGATAAATATACTTTTGATGTTTGGATTACATCAAGTTGTATATGAATTGTGTTTTATACAACTGATAATTTTGCCAAGTATATAATACTATACCATCCACTTATCCAATTTTCTTGTACTATTTTGTTATATAGCCTGAGAAGATCTTGACAGATGAATCGGTTATTGTGGCGCAATACATAAATAATCCGCTTTTAATCGACGGACATAAATGTGATTTACGCCTTTACGTAGCTGTGACGAATTACGATCCCCTGCTAATTTATTTGTATGAGGAAGGTTTAGTGAGATTTGCCGCTGTTAAATATGATGGCGGAAGTGAATATGTTTGGAATCCTTGCATGCATCTTTGCAACTATAGTATAAACAAGTTCCACGTAGATTATGTAAAGTAAGTTATACAACAAATACAGCTAATACGTACTAAATGTATTAAGATAAAATTATTTGTATGATAAAGAATAAATATATATTTTTTAATAAGATAAATGTATGTATACATATGTTATTGTATTAGGATAATATATTAAAGGATAAAGTTGTTTATATTGATAAAAGATACATATATTTTCTATTTATGTAAAGTAATAACTTAAATAGTTAAATATGCTAAAATTTTGAGAAAGTTTTGTAATAAGGTTTACTTACACAAAACAAAATTTTTAGTACATGTTTGCTTGCCATTTTTGTCTTGCCAAAGGTTTCAAATAGTTATTCTTGTATTATATTGAAATAATACAAATAATAGTACAATCTTTGTTATTTTATGTCAAGAAAATATTGTAATTTATGTAATATTAGCAATGCAAATAAATAAAAAAACGAGAATGAAAAAACAAAAGAAAGTAGTAAAGAAGGGAAGACAAGAAAGTAACAAAGTGAAGCAAAAAATTTTTCATTTTCAAAAAAATTGAATAAAAACAATTTCACATAGAAATTACATATAAAAATATCTAATAATTATATCTGACTAGGAGTGAAGATCCTGATGCCGAAGATGTAGGACATAAATGGACATTGTCGGCATTACTTAGACATTTACGCTCAATGGGTCAAGATACGGAATCGCTTATGCAGCGAATAGAAGATATTATTATAAAGTCAATTCTTGCTACTGCATCTGGAATCGTCAGCGGTTTAAAGCAATTCGTGAAATACCCGGAGACATGTTTCGGTAATAATTTATCTCAAATAGTATCTTTGATGTTTTTTAATATAATATACAGGGTGTAATTTAAAATATGATTAACAAACTTCAGTTTCGAGCTCCCCATATCAAAACACGAAAAAAAGTTGATATGAACAATGCTATGTCCACAAACTCATTGTCACTGAGATATAGCTCAAAACGTTTATTAATATAGGAGAAAATAAAAAAGTGATATTTATTAATATTTAATATCATTTTCAATTTTTAATTATAACAAATGTTCGAAGTGACTTCCATTTTATTCCATACACGTTTGGACATGCCAGATCATGGACTGTCGCATTCTTTCAAAGCTCTCGGCAATTGTGAATGTTTACATCAAAGATGCGTTAATGTAACATCTTCATTGGCGATTGGAACTTTATAAACTAAGGACTTTAAGTGTTCCTACAGAAAAATCTAAGGGATTTAGATCATGGGGGTCATACATAATACTTAAAAATTTTGAATTATGTCTCAGTATTGGATTTGCGAACATATATTCATATAAACTTTTTTTCATGTTTGGTGTGGGGAGCTCAGCTTCGAAGTTTATTACCTTATTTTAGTTATACCCTGCATAAATATAACTAAACAATATTCACGATTGAACAAATACCGATTTGAAAAAAATTATTTTTAATATGTAAATTCAACGGAAAAAAACGATCGTGATAAGCATTATTTTATGTTATAGAAAGATATAAAGTAAAAATATAATATTTCATATGTATATCACACATGTATGTTTTAGAGCTATTTGGCTTCGATATACTGATTGACGATATGTTGAAGCCATGGTTATTGGAAGTAAATTTAACCCCCTCGTTGGGATGTGATTCACCACTAGATGTTAGACTCAAGTCAGCTTTAATAACAGATTTACTTACTCTCGTCGGCATAGCTGCTGTCGATCCAATCCTGCGCTCTCAAAATTTAAATCGTGCTGCCATAAATTCCGATAAAAAGATAACTAATGTAAGCTATTTTGCTTTTATTTTTCTTAAATTCATATTTATCTTCCATCTATATACGATATATTTAGTGAGAATACAAAGTTATATGTAATGTACCTGTTATAATTTCTCACTCAATATAACCGTAATATAACACGTATATTATAGTTATATTGTTGAGTGGAAAATTACAATTAACGTTACATGTAACTTGTGTTCAGTGTGGGTATTGATTAAATATTAAATTTTTTTAAATTCAGATTCAATTATACATTAAATTGTAAATATGTTAAAACAACTAATCCCATACAGCATAAATAAGTTGCACAAAAGTTGCGGCAACGCTGCTGCAATATTGTATGTTGCAGCAATATTGTAGAAATTTTGCAGCAATGATTGCTGCAAATTCTGTGTTTTGTGGGATGATTTTCAAGGTTAGGAACGCGGTTATCCAAAAAAAATTAACGCGTTACCGTTAGCATTACTTAAAAAGTAACAGTTTTTTTCGTTATTTTTTACTTTCTTTTAATGCTCTACAAAAGTAAGATATATTAATTTTTAAATTACAATATTTAATAATCAATATTAAAACTAAATTTAATAACGTAATTTACGAAGATGTTGCGATAAGAGCCATTTTTGGTTCTCCTGAATTCAAACAAAACTATTATAAAAGGGAAATGTACCTCCATATCGGCCTCGTAATTCTCCAAAAGAATATGATTCTAAATCTCATCGTTTATGAATTATTATTCTCTTAATTTAAATGATTCATAGGGAATTTTATACTATTCGATGATTGAGGTTTTTTGGACAATATAATTGGAATTACACTTCACCAGTCTTTCTCAAAAACTTGCAAAGGGTATCACCTATAATATATCAAGATGTAAAATCGATGAAACCATGTGCATATGCTGTCATCTAGCACATTGAATCTATGAATATGTTAACTTTACATGCGTATACAGGGTGAGCCGTTTTAATCTATCACCCCAAATATTTTCGTTCCATTGAATTTTACAAGAAAATGTTTCAGACAAAAGTTGTATGGTTCCAAGGGGGCCATAAAATGGTACCATTGGTTTGACCTTGGGTAGTCGCTTAAAGGTCACATGAAGGTGACCTTTAAGCGACTACCCAAGGTCAAACCAATGGTACCATTTTATGGCCCCCTTGGAACCATACAACTTTTGTCTGAAACATTTTCTTGTAAAATTCAATGGAACGAAAATATTTGAGGTGATAGATTAAAATGGGTCACCCTGTGTAGTGGTTGAAGATTATTTGAAAAATTTGCAGATTGAACTGATGATCGTTTCATGATTCAAGATAGATATGTAAACAAGAAACAACAAATGTGTCTTGTTATGTCCAAACCCTTAGAAATTTAATGTAGGATTTGATTGGAGAGACAAAGGATGAAAATGATGAGGTTATGGAAGGATACTTCGACTCTTTGTCTCGCAGGTATTCATACAGAGGCGAGTACCCCGAGTCGGACGCATTTTTTGTCGCTTCGGAATATAGGTCAACGTCTTGTAGAGATGCTATAACACCTATTTCCGATAAGCAGTACGATCGTTGGTTCAAATTTCGAGTCAAGGAACTTAATCCTTATAATTCGGGACTGAATCACGTGCAATCTTTGCAAAACAAGGACGATGATTAGTAATCTTAGGCTCTAGATTGAGTGAGAGAGAGAAATTTAAGTTAGTAAATATTGAGATTTATTATTAACAATCTATTGTTTGTTAGTGCAAGTGAATTGTTCGGAATTGATTAATTGACATCGAGCGTTTGTATTTTAAGCATTAATAATATTTTTGGCGGTTCAATCAATTTCATATAAAGTAGCAGAGAAAGGGAAAAAAGATTGGAAAAGAATTCTATTGGAACCAAATATGGATAAGACTGGAGAAAAAATACTGGAATATAGGCATTGGGAGGCTGTCTTGTGATAACAGCTCGAATTTTATATGGATCGAAATAAAACAAAGATTGTTATCAACAATGCAGCCGAAAAATGTCGAAATTAGGAAAAGCCCTGTTGTAAATAATTACCCAAAATCTTTAGGACCTACTTACCTTGAACAATTAACTATATTTGAACGACTAAATATAATTCTCTCTTCTTTTCCAATATATAAGTCGATCTATTACGATTAGATTCGTATTGTTGTTTCTTGTTTACATATCTATCTTGAATTATGAAATAATAGTTACTTTGAATCTGCAAGTTCTTTAAATGGTTTGGAATCACTATGCGGGTAAAGATAACGTTTATATTCATGGATTCAATGTGTTAAACAAAAATATACAAACGCTTTCATCGCTTTCATCTTTTGTTGTATTCAGGTAATATCCTTGCCAAGTTTTTGAGAAAATCGTAATTCCAGGAACATTGTCACAAAAATACCGACCATCGAAAAGTGCCAAATCTCCTATAATATTATTCAAATTCAAAATGTAATAATTCCTAAACAATGAGATTTAGGTCATATTCTTCTGGGGAGTTATAAGGCAGATATGGAAATACATTTCCTCCTTTGGTTCGTTTGATTTCAAAGGAGACAAAAATAACCTTACCGCAATGGTCCTTTCCTTTTACCAAAAATTTTTTATTAAACATTTTTAATTATTAACGTTATTATTAGAAAGAATATTCCAATATAGTATATTCCCTGTTAGTACTGAAAATTTACATAAGTAGTATAGCTATGGGGGATTCTAAAGCCTCACGTGTTAGTGCGTATGTGGTGTGTATGATATGTGAAAGGACAAAGGAGGGGGAAGTATGTCACTAGGCGTGAGGATTGCGAGAGGGGGCTGACGTTACCGGGGCTGCGGTAGACGGAGACGGCTCTCTCTCTCTCTCTCTCTCTTTCTCTCTCTCTCTCTCTCTCCCCTCCTCCGTCGCTCACTCACTCGTTGACCTTTCTCCCACCCATTGTAACCTGCAGTTCTCTCTCTCCCATCCATTGCTGTCCTATACTTATCATTATTATTCGCGCTCTCTCTTCTTCCCGTTGTATTCTTAAAGATCACATTTCTTTTATTTTGCAAACTATTAGACAACTCGTAAGAAATATCAAAAACGTTAAATATAAAGAATAATTAGCCGACTATGAGCAAAACGTTGTTTTCTTGTTTTAGTATAGAAGAGTACAGTCTGCAGAAACATTGCCTCAAGAAAAGAAGAATATTAGAAGTATAAATAAAAGTAAAGTAGGTTTAAATTTAGAGCAACAACGAATAGTAGCGTCTGCAAAAGCACAATTTGAGAGAAGAGGCGGATTCGTTAGAATATTTCCAAGTCCGAAATCTTGGGAACTCTACTCACAGTACTTAGGTAAACATAATATTTTTTTGATAATAAATTTAAATACGTACAGAGAATTGTCAAGATATTTTTCAAAGTCAATATGTCCTAACAAGATGATCTTTTTTATGTATTCTATGTCTTAGATCCGATTACAGGTGCACCAATGATTTCGGATCCGCTAGGTCCAAGGAGATTACCGCAACATATTAATACTAACCATAACCTAATGTTGCATGAACAGTTGTTTCCTGCAGCTACTCGCATTACTGGCTACATTGTTTCAGAAGTCATATTAGATAGATTATCTAGGTATGAGGACACAAATTCTTGTTTCACATAATTATAGTGACCACATTTTTGTTCACGAAACTATTACTCTTTATATAAAAACTCAAATTTGGTAATTTTTCAATATTTTACAGTTCAATGATTTTGATCATATGTTATTAATACTTTTGTATTAACCGATAATTCTTTTTTTACTTTTTTAAAACTAGGAATCGGATATAGTAATCTTAAACCTATAGCCGATTGTCGCAAGATATAGGCTGCGTTCAGCAGAGAAAGCAGCTTTGCAACTGTTGTAAAATTCTTCAATATGATTGGTTTATACATTTAGATCTGTCAGGAACCAAAAGCAAGAACCAATCGTATTGAAGAATTTTACAACAGTTGCAAAGCTGCTTTCTCTGCTGAACGCAGCCATTGTTATCGAAATCAAAACTATATTTGCTTCAAATTATTCTGTTTGTAATTATTTGTTGTTTAAAATATTGAAGAAAATTTACCTGTTATAAATCCAAATAGAAAAAATATAAAATATATTATGAACAAGAAGATTATTAAAATGTAAAAAACTTAAAATTTATGATATACTAATTATATAATAATTGATAATTTTTGAAAAAATTAATTGAATATTTTAGTATTGAACAATTAACATATTTTGATAATTATGCATATTAGGGGCGACCAAATTTCAATGACCTTGGTATATGTTGTCAAGGTCATGACAACCTCGAGTGATCTCCAACAGGTTTTAGCCACCGCTCATTATTCGTTAAAAAGTTATTAACAAAATATAAGTTTAAGAAATAACGTTTTTTTTTTCTACTACATAAAACAAAAATTCTCCGTTTTAAAATCTCTCTTCTGCGTAAGGGCACACGATTTTCCTCGCGAAGCGAATTCCATTCCACCTTCCTCCTTGCCAAGGTGTACACGACTTTTTACGCGAAGCGAAGTCCACCCACCCCACCTCTCCCCCTGACTAGGAGCATATTATGACTTGCCACGCGTCCAAAAATAAAACTGTCTTATTCGTTTTTGAAATAGAATTTTATCGCACAAAAACTACGAGTACCCTTTTAAAACAAGGTATTCGTGACTTTTTAATAGTTTTGTTCGTTATCGAAAAAAAAACCGCGGTTTTTGGGGACCACCACTTCTGAGCATTTATCCTATTTCTTAGCTTAGTTAACAAATATCAATGTATAATTTTATTTTCGTTCGATCTCCTTTTGTTAAATACGAATTATAAACAGTGGCGTTTTTCCATTATGCAATCAGAAGCAATCACGGCTAAGGCTATCTTCGTCTTCTGATCCCTGAAGACGAAAATAGCCTTATCCGTGGTCACTTCTGGTTGGATAACGAAAAAACGCCCCAGATAGAGATCAATGACGAATAAATCATTTTTTCATTATCACTTCCTAGTTTAGTTAACAAATACTAGCGTACGATTTCGTTTTCATCCGATCTCCTATTGCTAAATATTAAATTGTAAACAAATGGATATCGAGATCAAATACATCACCTTATCATTATCATTTCCTAGCTTAGTTGACAAATATCAGACTGTAATTTCGTTTTCGTTCGATCTCCTTTTGTTTAGTATTAAGTTATAAACAAATAGTGATCGTTGACCAATAAATCGCTTTTTCATTATCATTTCCCAGCTTAGTTAACAAATACCAGCGTATGATTTCATTTCTATCCGATCTCCTTTTAAATATTAAGTTATAAACAAATGAAGATCGAGATCAAATAGATCGCTTTGCCATTATCATCTTCTAACTTTATTAACAAATATAGTGTATAATTTCGTTCAATTTGCGTTCAATTTCCTTTTGTTATGTATGAATTTATAATCAGAGATTAATGACGATTGTCATTTCCCAGCTTAGGGCCACTGTCACCAAGCTCAATTAACTTAACTGGGCCAATTAATCCATCGGAATTGATCAATCTGTCAATTCTTCAAACAAAATGACAAATGCGATTGGTCAATTCCGATGAACTAACTGGTCTAGTTGGATCAACTGAGCTTGGTGACAATGGCCCTTAGTTAACAAATCTTCATCAGTGCAAATTAATTAATGTTCGCGATAGTTTAACTATATCCTAGACATTGGCAATGTTTCCGAAAGCATCCGATCAGCGCCTCTAACGCCATCTAACACCAGATGCTGCAACCGTACATTCTGAGCTGGTCGACGACAATAATAATGATGACAATAACGACGTATCTGAATCTGAAAAGTTACAGATCTGGACTTTGCGTCGCAATATTCTCTCTTGTAGGATACGTCGAGAAAAAATAATGTATAATACAATCGGAGTGTAAGCTATCGATTAAGTTATTACTTAAAACTCGATCGGATCAGCCGTTATTAAGATTCGATAATCTTGATCTGGCGTAACTCACCAGCTCGTGTAAAGGAGCACAGCAGTGTTTCGCGCCATGGCGCTTCGCTTGTCTTAGCGCCGAGACACGACCGTGTCTCCAGATATTTTTTGACCTTCTCGGTCTCCGAGACTAAAGCACTTTTCCGATCAGTCAACAACTGCGACTTCTACGTTTTTCTCTGTCTTATCTTACGCCACGACTACGTTTAGTTACGTCTCGTTCTCTGCCATAGCCCTTACCGATTTGCTCGGGATGTACACGACTGCTTCATCGAAATTTATTTGATTTCACGATATTATTGTCCACACATGTGTCGTCGACTTGTGCAATGCTGGATCGCGCGCGTCATTTATTTGCACACAGCATTGATTCGCGCACAGCGTTTTCTAATATGTTCGTGCCTGACTCACAATCAGTCTGATCTCACGTGGCCGTCTGTAGTCTTGAGCTCTCGTCGGTTTTTAGTTACACTAATCTTGAATTTGGTGCCTCAATTAGCGTCGCATCTCACTAATTCTGAGATTGTGAGTGAACGTTTGAAAAGTCTGACCTCGATCGCGAGTTCGCAAAAGAAGGAAAAAGAAGCAAGCGACTCTTACGCGTATTTTCTCTCAGATGACCATCTTTATTTTGATTCTCCTCTACGCGATAGGCGCGTACATCATATTCAGGGAATGGAATTAACTCGTTACTTGTAACGAAGTTATAGTTACAAGTTATTTTTTGGTAACTTTACTGATAACCGCGTTACTTTTTTTGATAATTGTAACGATAACGTATAGTCACATTTTTTTTGTAAACAGATTTTACAGTTACTTTTATCGTTAGTTTGCGCATGATTGAACACGGTTCGATTGGACATAAGCCACTCGTAGCGCTTGAGACTAAAAATTTTTAGGCACTCGTCCGCTGTGAATGATGGTCGTTGATTTTAAGAAAGTAACGGAAAAATAAAGGAAGTTACTTCCTCAAGTAACGGTAACCGTAACGAGTTACTTTTAAAAAGTAACTATACATTCCCTGATCGTATTACTCCGCGCGATGGGCGCGTACATTATATCACTCCGTGCGACATTTAAATTAATCTTACAATATTTACAAAATTATTTTGTGTAAAGATATTGCAAAATATACTCGACGCTTTTCTTTATATTTTAATGTCTTTCCCCTTGCAATTTGCTATAGATTTTAAAAAGAATATAAATTTACGTCAGTATCTATAAATGTATTAAAATCGTGATGAGTAACATATTAAAGTTGTCAAAAATAAAAGTACAGGATTTTTAGTCGTCGATTTTTACAAATGTTTTAAAGCAATCTCATCATTTTGTTTTATCCAAATTGTCTGTATTTATAAATGGCATATAATAAAAATTAACGTGTCATTTCTCGCTTCTGATGTCACGATTCAATATAACTGTGGTGACTACTCAGGAGCCTTAAGTAAAAAAGTTATTTATAATTTTTTAATTTAATCATTAATTTTTGAGATATCAAGAGTTCAAGTGTGGCCGATTACAGACTACGTTTAAACAGCCGCCAGTCCACGAGCACATGCAGTAGTATTAGTTGTTGTTGAGCGCTCATCTACATTTATAGATGACCGTCTAAACGTACCGTCAAAGCACTAGTTTCTGGTGAGTCCCTAATTTTTGATCAGTTTGGAATAAATTATTATATTGCATTCACCGTCATAAATATTAGTTGCAAAAAATATTTATAATAAAATTGAACATAGAGAATTACTAACAATAAGTGAGTAGTAGACTTTCAAAATGCGTTTTGTTTAAAATTTTATAATTTTCCGAAAACGAGAAAGAAAGCCACAAAGAAACCACACGCCTTACAGAAAATAATTTGCCAATCAGTAAGATGTAAAATGTTAAACAAAATTATTAAACTATTTCTAATAATGTTAAACGAATGCATTTTGTTTGTCTCTAGTTAAAGGACGTAATGCACTTCGAATGTCTATCTTTTCAACACATAAATTAATGGTGAAAAAATGTTTTCAGAACATAAAGTAGAGTTTAAAATATGAATCTTTTTAAAAACTGAATACTATGCCATCTCTCTAACTAAAAAAATCAAATTTTGGACAAAGTGCATTTTGGAAGTCTACTCCTCGTGTGTAAATATGGAAATTTCAATTGAGCGTATTTTTATGACAATAAATTCAACAAAATAAACGTTTGGGAAGAGACACATATTACTACCATCATTATGGTCGGATGTAAGCAAGGTCTTTTGTTCAGTCAACTTGTTATTTGCACGTGTTTAACGAAATGAATATAATGTATATATTTCGTTCAGAGAATAATTTATTCTAATAGAGTATCGTGAAGAAGAAAAACAGAAATTATTCGAAGATTTAAAACGAGAAACACCATTTATGGTGTAGACCTTCAAAACGATGGTATCTCTTCGAACCAATCTCTTCGTTATCCACAAGTGTTATCCACTGAAGTTAGTACAAAATCTATTCCTTAGGAGAGCTGAGAGAAGTGTCGGAGAAAGATATCCGTAATAATGGTTTCAAGACATAAAGGTGTATTCAGAATGCAAAAATTTGTTGAATATCAACGATTCGAGAATTTTCAACTGTGTGTGATGAATCGGCTTTTTTACTGAATCAAAATTTTTAAAAAGTGCTGGCATTCAAGAATCAGAAAACTTATATTCAGGAAGTTTATATTCGGATCACAACAAATTGAAAAGAATGTTTCACGATTCTTATCACTGGTAATACAGACGGACAACTGGCTCCTCCCATGGTCCTCTACGCTTACGAACGTATACCTGATCCTATAGCTGCAGTAACTCTAACAGAGTGGTCTCTTGGACACTCGAAAAATAGGTGGCTGACCCAAGAAAGTTTTTACGAATACGTAACAAATGTTTTTTACAAATGGTGTCTTGATAATCATTTGAAGTTTCCTATAATTCTACTTGTCAATGGTCAACCACCGTTCTCAATTCACACTCGCCCTCAGTGTTTTTGTTTCCAGCATAAAATTGAATTAATTGTTTTATATCCAAATGCAATACATCTTCTGCAGCTACTGGATATTGCCCTTTTTCGACCATTAAAATTGAACTGGAATAAAGTTTTGCAACATGGAGAATAGAGCATGGCGGAGTGTCATTGGATAAAGAAAGTTTTGCTCCTTTTCTCAATGAAGCTATCAGTATATTCGACACAAAAAGAATGAAAACGGATTCAAGGGGATTGCGGGTTATATCCCTTTTCACCAGATTATTCAAGTGGATTATTCAAGGCTTCTCCATTCGAACAAAACACACATGAACCAATCTATGGAAAATGAAACAGAAGACATTTTTATTTAACTTTTTAGGTTCATCGAGGATGGTTGACTATTAATTAACAAGCCCTATAAAAAGTCGATTGGTCAAATACTTTTTTCTCAATCGTGTACATAAAATTGAAGAAAATGCAACAAACAGATTTCGAGAAAAACACGTTTAAAGTTTTCGGTTTAGTTCTTGAATACTTACAGTGCTCAGAGGTTAATCTGCTATTCCAGAGGCATACAATAATCCTTCAACTTCCTCATGGAATTCATTTTGAGCAATATGTGCTATCCTACATACTCGGGCCTATCTCGTGCTACTAACAAAGGAATCGGTCAGAACTGACCCTCACTGATTTTAATAAGCTTTGGATAGAGCATGAAAAAACATTAGACTCATATTTTTTATGCTTACCTCGAGGTTTAGGGAGTGAAACATCCCCTCGAAAAAATGATTTTTTTTCTCTCGAAGCGAATATCATCGATACTATAAGAAATAGAAAAAAAATTTCCAGAATGAAAATTGAATGACTTCAAGAGTACTTTAGAACTATTTTTTTAATTATTTATTATACCTGCGCACTGTGCACCCGTATAAGTACAAGTGCTGAATTTATACCGAAAGACTTCGAATTTCGCTCTAAAATTTTAAGGACATATTCTCGAAGAGTTGTACCATCGATGTGTGAAAAAGAAATCGACTTTTTTAACTTATATAGTAGGTGACCTCTCTCTTAATTACTCAAGAAAACATTATTGATGTTTCGATATCTGAACCTATGAATGAACACACTATTTGGATTATCCATGAAAATGGAACAGTCGAACAGAAACCTATTTCAGAGTTTTACCAGTTAGCCACACAATCTTGTTCGGGTAATGGAAGTCAGGATGTTTCTATTGAGAATCTACATCCAACTCTAAATACATCAGTCATGGCGATGAAAATTTGAGCCCAAAACTAATGCCAAGGTTGCAGAATGTTTGAATGTAGAAGAAAAAATTCAAGGCAAAATCTTGTTTCAATTGTATACCATACATGGATGAAAGGGCTACCCGATCTTAATCTCTTAAAAAAAGTATGTTTATTAATTTTTGAGATAATTATTCTATAATCACAATAAAACATAATTATTTATATTGTATATAAATTTTTCAGCAGATGACTCGAAGGTGCCATCTTCATTTAAGAGGTGTCTGTTTTGGCCCAAACAAAAGCAGGAATTAAAAAAAAGAAAAAAAATTAAATTCTTGCAGTGGCTATATCAGACGAATAGAGAGAGTATCACCAAGATCTGATTGAAAAAAGGAAAAAAATAGAAGAGAAAAAACTGAGAATGGAATTAAGATTAAAGAAACAAAAGTAAAAGAAGTAAAAGAAAAGGAGAAGAAAATAAAAAAAGCTTTTAATAAATAAAAAACGATTCATAAGAAAAATGTTACTTTTTTCATATTCTATTATATTAATAATATGGAAATTATATATTAACAGCAGTCGGTCATAAAAATATATTAATCTATTATATTAAAAGTATGGAAATTATATTAATAAATTAATATAGTATCTATATTTTGCTTATTTCACAAATTTACGGAATAGTATATTGAAAAATATAAATAATATTAAAAAAAATTGAATGTCATTGAGTTCTTAGTTATTTAGTCTTTTTATGTTACAAAATATCTATGATTAGAATGTAGTCCTTGACCTGATCAGAAATTGAATCTGAGAGTAAAATGCTGATTAGAAATTAGTTCCATGTAATTTTCACGGCGATATTATCTCCTTATCAACTTAATTATGGTTATTACATTATTTTTCCAATTGCAACTTAAAGTTTGAATGTTGCTCTGATCGTTTGAAAACAAAAAAGTTTGTATTTTTGTCTTTTATTACGTTTAAATATTAAGGGCAACATGGGAATGCTTCTTAACCGACCAAAAACTAATGCCTTGATAGTAATTGGCCATATTTAAACCGAATATCTCAGACAAAGATATTGCTTAAAATAAAAATTTACAACTAATTTTTTTATTTAATTTTTTGAAAACTGATGTTATAGTACTTTGAGTCTCGAATTTTGGGACACCTTGTATAACACTGAGTATCTATTTCTTCAAATTTTTCATAGGTAGGATCATATAAGAAGCTGAACATTATTAGAAAATATTAACTATCATAAAAATGACAAAAAAGGAAACAAAAAGTGAATATGGATACTGCGAAAATAGATTACGATGCATTGCTATAGCTTTATTTGTATGACTATGATGAAAAGTTAATAATTGATCATTTCCTTGTAGGTACGAAAGATATGAAAGAGCGTTGGTGAAAGGCCACAAACAAAGCTTGGACAGAATGAATAACAAAGAGAATGTAGATATAGATGTACATAAATATAAAAGCCAAGTATTGCAATCAATGCAAGAAGGCAATAAACTTAGGTTTGTTAATAAAATTCATATGGGGAATATCAATTAAACAACGTAAGTTACAGGCTCTGATGAATTAAATCATTACACGAATAAGAATGCCAATAAGAGCCGACACATGTTGTTAGTGTGTATTTCTTATTTCATTTCAAATATATAAAAGTCAATCAAAATATCGCAAACGTTTTGATCCTCTGTTTCGGATCCTCCTCAGTGCAGTTAGTATGTCTTAAAATCTATAATCATTGTAAACGCATGTAAACAGATGTATAAGCTATTAATTAAAAGTTGCTTATTTCACTCTTCGTTAGATTATGTTTTGTAAATAAATTTGCGTCTTTAATGAAATGCAATAATAAGCGACTTTTAATTAATAGCTTACACATCTGATTATAGATTTTAAGACGTATTACTAACTGTACTGAGGAGGATCCAAAACAGAGGATCGAATCGTTTGCGATATTTTGATTGACTTTTATATTTGAAATAAAATAAGAAATACTGAAATACACACTAACAGCATGTGTTGGCTCTTATTAGCATTCTTATTCGTGTAATGATCATCAATTAGTCAAGTACTCAAGTATTTTGAATATTGTTCAATTAATTCATCTGTTTTGTTATGTTTCTTTCCCATTTGGATAAAAAAAATCATACGAACTTATCATACGAATATTTCAGTTCTGGTGAAGCGAGAAAAGCCTTTGGTTTATATCTAGGTTATATATTACGAAAAATATCACAGCCTAATGTAGATCCAGGATGTTGCGATCTTGTTATGAAGTTTCTCCAACATTCGTCTTGCAGTTTGAGAACACCATTTTTATTTACGGTACGCATTAGTAATAACATTATATCTTGTTATATACTAAAGTAATTTATTTAAAAAATGCTAAGGCATTTTAACAGTGACAAAGATTAAGTGGAATAAGTACGGTAAAATTACCCCCAAAAATAATTTAACGAAATAGCCTCTCGTCCTCTCTCTCTCTCTCCATATCCCCCTCTCCCCCCCCTCTCTCTCTCTCTCGCTCTCTCGCTCTTTCAGTAACCAAAGTAGTGTATAGTGAATAAATACACTATCTAATTCCTCAACTTCTTAAACCTTCCCGTTAGAGTAAGTTTTGAGGATGAGTTTACAAAACAAAAGTAGTTATTATATCTCATAATTAGATATAACGCATAATATAAAGATAGAGATACTGTCACGAGCGTCGCAACATTATGATAAAATAATAAAATAAATAAATTATAAATAATTTGGTACAAAGTTTTTTTTTTTCGAGGAGAACGTATTTTTATAAAGATGGTACCACTTGAATTTTATAATTTGTACACTAATTCTTTTTCAAAGAGCATATACTCTTAATGCTTTTTTTTTTACTCTTTTTGGAAAGATAAGTTTGTACTATATTCACTTAAAACTTCTCTTTCATTTGCTTTTTGTTTCATTACGTTATGTCTAACTGATTGGGAGATATAAACTTTAATCTTTTAAACTCATCATTGTAGCACTCTAACGGGTAGGTTTAGTAAAATGGGTGTCTTATATCTAGATAGTGTATTTACCCTCACTATAAGTTGCTTTTAGATTTAGTTCGTAAATTATTTTGGGGCAAATTTTATCATATTGATTCCGCTGGACTCTTAAAATTTTAAGTTAAATTCAAAGTTAAAGTATATAAATTGAGTATCTATTATTGTCGAAGTATTGCGCTACGTCCAGAGTACAACAATTTTATATCAGAAATAAATCACATAGTTAAATTATTTGTTTGAATTAATAATGTTTTCCGTAGTTACCATGCAGTAAGTTGAGCGATAAAGACCGAGCTGCAATCACCGCAAAGCAACTTTCCGATTTTTTGCATCTATATAACAGAGAAACAGATCTATATGAAGACACCGTAGATCGGTCTCATACCGTTCCTAATGAACTCTTCCAAAAGTTTTTAGTTGCTGCGAGGTATGCACATATGTTGTTTTTAAAACACAGTGCTATTGTGAAATTATGTGAAACAATCACCCATTAAAATACAGAACAGTATCATTTGTATCATATTTTAGGACACAGAATAGATGCAGAAAAATTATGCGTATCAAGAACGTCTAATTTCACAACAAATTAAGATATGTGTAATATGATTACGTTACAGCGAACAAGATCTTGATGATGTGCTGATTCTGCAAACTCGTCTTTATAAGTGCGCTCACAGTTTCTTGGGAAGAAGCGGCTTCGCTGGCAATTTACGCGGCGCAAATCTTCTCGGGTCTTTACCGCATATTACATCGCGAGTGTATTCCAATGCCGCTGCAACAGAACAGTGCAGATGTAATAATTCAATTAATAGGTAATTTAATTATTACATTTACCGAATTTATATTATACATTTTGAGAGAGAGAGGAAAGAGAGAAAAAAGGAGGCGGGGAGAAGGAAAAAGAGAAAAAAATGAATTATACACATAATTATAATTCTTAATCTGTTAGAGTTACGTCTGCTTTCTCTCTCTCTCTCTCTCTCTCAAATTGTTGAGTCAAGTATTATATGAGGCTATTTTAAAACAAAATCGCAAATAACACTTTTATGCCCTGATATCACAATAAATCGTTCTTACATATAATGTCAAAGGCATAATTTTAAGCAAGAATATTTTGAATATACTCTCTAAGGCGTTTTAATTTTATTTACGTATGCAACATATTAGTATTACGCATTCGTACATCTTATAATGATCTCCAAGAAAACAAAGCGATTTAGAAATCGCTGATATCATTACCATATATCTGTTCGCGTTGCTTGCATTTTGTGCACTCAGAATCTTCGCTTTCTTTTTTTTCAACATTCAAATATACAGGATAATCCAGACCACCCGTAGGAGCCGATACGTATATACATATTCCACAATTAAAAAATGAGTCAAAGATGTTAAAAGTAAAATGTTATGATGTCAATAGTTTTCAAATATTGAGTCTTTGAAACTGTCTAACCACAGACCATGAAGTTCGCGCCGTCAGGTGCGGTGCAACTAAGCGGCCGGCAGGAAGGAAGACTAATGGGCCTTCTACAAGAAGCCATTAGTCATAAATCAGAAGTCAGAAGTTAAAAATTGATGACTGTGAGTGGTCAATTTCCAGCTTCTAACTTCTGATTTATGACTAACGACTTATTGTAGAATGGCCATAAGGAGACTCCATTCAGTCTAACCCAGTGAGCTTGTCTTTGTCTTTGTCGAATTCTCTTGTACGTATTTCGACTCTATTATTGAATCACAGTACCATGCGTATCAAGTAAGCTTTAGAGTGGTGGATGTACAGAATCAGATCTCGACCGGACCGGGGCGACACTTGGAGAGATATAAGAATACTATCGTACGAAATCTTGACCGCATCAAGTCAACAAAAATTAACTAAAATCACTTGACTAACTGGTCGCAGACCGGCAGAATGTCAATTAACTGGCCCAACTTGAACTGACTTCCATTCGCGAAAGGCCCTTTTTATATTCGCGAAGGAGTCGGTTGTGCCGGATGGAGGTGCCACGTATGTTAATGATCTAATTTAAGATTAGGATTAGTAGTATCGATTATGAATTGGATACTGGGATCGGTGTCACTTGTGGCCTAAATTTTTGGTTCCCTAACTTTCAAACAACATTAGTCATTTTCGTCATCGACCATTTGCCAGATGTTCAATATCGATAGTTCAAAGCTGTAAGTGTCATCTATTTCAAACAACCGATGCTGTTTCGATTTATAAATCCTTAATCTGTACTACTTCTTTTGTTCCTTGGGAGACCTCTCTTATTCGGTACTTGGTTCGAATATTTATAGCGAATTCGATTAGATGCGCACTCGGTGCGCATTAGTGTACATTAAAGACGTCGTACACAAAATAACGTAAAGATACGTTTATAAATAAACATAAAAATCGATTAAATCGTGAAATACTCAATACATTTTATTATACTATTAGGTAAAATATATATTTCATAATTCGAAATATTTGCATTTCATTTTTATACTCAAATTAAATCAGGGTACAACGGCTTTAATATGCACCAATGCGCACTAGTGCTTCCAATCGAATTCGCCATTAGTTTAGCAACATCCTCCCGAGCTAATTATTATTCTATAAAAGAGATCGTTACTATCGCAACTTTCTGTGACAGAAATAGATGGTCCACCGATAATACTTATTAAGAATTTTTATAGTGATGACAAAAATCCTCATCAAAGAAAAGAATTGTGGAGTCTAGACGTAACATTTGTATATAAAAAAAACAATATATAACACTACATACTTACACAATAGAATGACGTTTCAAACACAGGAATCACCTCGTTTCATCGTTTTGCGACGATAGCATTCAATCATAAAAATTGTTACTATACATAATTATGTTGCGTTAATTAATTGTCAATATATTTAAATTCAGTTGAAAATGGACCTCTGAGTCCCGGAAATGTACTTTTTTGGTGTAACATGATAATAAATGTTTTTAATTGATATCTGTAATATTGTAACTTGATTATTGATAGCTAATTAATTTAATTTATTTGATACTTTTTGAAATAAGTAACTATGTGTTTTGTTTACACCAATATGAACGGTTAACGGTTTAGTTTACATCGTCAAAACGTTAATACGTGTATTAAATTTTGAGCGCACCAATGCTTTAACACGGTTGCGTTTACATCGAACGTAGTAAGAAAAAAAATAATGCAAATATTATCTTAATATATTGTTTGAAAGAAACAGTCAATCATAACACCGATTTTAATTAAGATAGCCCTTAATAGACTTCCTCCAAAATGCGTTTCATGCATTTATGTCGTCATTTATGTCATTTGGTACGCATCTCTCAGTCCAGTACAATACACTTACTTGGTACGCTCGTACCAAGTTGATTCGACAGCGTTTATATAGTGCATACTAAATATTTAATATGAATTTGATACGAATATAGTACCTGATACGCATATCAAGTATATGATGTAATCTAGGCCAATAAGAACGCTCATGTCATTTGTGTGCAATAAAGCATTATAGAAAGTTCACGAAAACTTTTCATTACTTAATTCTAAAACACTTGATTTGACTACGTACTATATTTATCTACTTCGACAACTTTACCAATTTTTATTATAATGCTGAATAGTTACTTTGTCGTTTTGTCAAAATATTGCTAAAAATATAAAAATTTAACATAAAATTAATTATAAATGTAAGAATTTAAAGATGTTCGAATTGACTTAATCTAATTCGCGAAAAAGATTGTAGTGCTTCATCTATAAATTTATTCTTATATTCTTATCATCTTAAAAAATTGCATTACAATGTACTAATTGCAAATTAAGATAAAAGAAATCTTCTGATGATAAAAAATAACGTGTTTACACAAATTAAGCAAACAATTAATCGTTCTTATCTCTCTTGCATAAGAAATATAATATATTCGAGATATATTCAGAGCTTAAATTTTTAAGTATTAATGACATAATTATCTCAAAAGTTTATTACATCTTATGGCTATCTATACAAATTATGGTTAAATAATTTATAACAGTTTTCCCATTGAATTGTTTATTATGCTTGGTTGAAACAAATCCTTTTTGGAACAGAAAAAACAATTTTTGTACGATTGATGTATAAAAACTAGCTTACAATTAGAATTCCAGCTGTGTAAAGAGAATAAAACTACTGCTTCGTCGTTTTACTTATGTTCTGTTCTTCCAGCTTCTTGATTCTTTTCGAACGTTCATGCACGATATGTTCTAAGTTGTTATAAAACTCCGAATTTGCATCAAAAAAGCGTTTGAAATCACGACGATGCAAGCGAAGCAGCTCGCACACTTCTAAAGCGATAACTGATTCTCCTCTTCGTTGATTCGGATAAATCAAGCCAGCTTCGCCAAAGTGATCACCATCATGAAGATGATATATCTGTGTAGAGAATATCTTATTTATACTTAACTGTAATTTCCAATAAAATATAGGATAGAGCGCAGCTTTTTCGTTTATTTTTCATGATCGTTTATGTTCCTTAACAGCATATTGAACATTTAAACGTTATATTTGTGAAGCTTGTCTGAAGCTATTACGATTATATGAGGTAGTTATAAGCACATTATTGCAAAAAGTTATTGTTTGTTGCCGTAAATTTTATATTACCTTAAGGTTGAAAATAACGAAATAGTCCCGCTGTACACCCCCCACTAAATTCCGTTTTTTTTTTTTATTTAAACATTTTCAGTTACTTCTTTCCCAGACAATGTGATCAGTGCAACGGTTCCGCTAGCTATAAAATACATATGTTCGCCTTCAATACTAGCTTTGTAAATTACATCTCCCTTAAGATATATCACTGGCTTCAATGAATCTACGATAAATCAATTTATCATTAAAATAAAAATCTTCAACTTTCGAAATAAATAATAGCCGAAAGTAGAAAACGTATACAATAGTAAGACCGCAATTGTACGGACGTTAAAGCATGATTGTGACAAATGTTGCACCATTTAGCATCACGTTAAAATAAATATAAATAATGTGATGTACAATAAATTAAATTTAAGACGGTTAAATAGTAAAAATAATTGTTTAATAATTATAATAAAAAGTTTAACAGTAATCAGATTATTGGCGTTACATTCACAAGGATAAAATGACGACATAGTTATGACCAAAAAAGGTACTTAGGAAAAAAAAAGGTTACCCATTCCAAACCATGTACGTATTTAGCGTTGATTAACTTCTGCGACTGTACGAGACTGATATATTATGATGATCACGAACACTTAACGTTAATAGAGATATGCTCGTGACAGATCAATTTAATAAATGTTGTCAAAAAGATTAAACATATAACTACAATTTTGACTTATTTTTATGTGCGGAGAGCATACCTATATCTCATATTTTCTGTTATTTACTTAAAGAGAGCACAATTAGATAGAAGAAGTCAGTACATTAGTTAATATTTTAGACAACATGCATGTCCAAAATTAGAATACAATAAGATGTATTAATGACGTGATGTTCCAAAAGACACCTTAATGATATTTTTAAAGAATCTCATGTCTCGATTTTGTGCATGATTCTGTCTGAGGTACTTATTTATAATTATTACTTAATTAAGAAAAATAATAATTAATCATTATTAAATGTGATGTAAAAATGATAATTTTGTATTAACATATGATCAAGAATATTTATGTCTTTTAATGTTATTATTTAGTTGACTGATATCGAACAATGAAAAATGATTATAAATTGACATTATACCGATGATACTTAAATAATAAAGTTTGTATACAAAATTCAGTTGAAAAAGAAAGACTTTGTTTGCAATCCTTATTAAATTTAAGACAAATTATAAATGCATGCGGTAAAACAATAAATATAAACAAACAAAAATTAATATATGACTTAAGAAAACTTATTTCTAGATACCAATATAATAATATAATATCAATTTAAAATGAAAATTACAGCGCAAGACCGAAATATTATGTCAATGATACATGAAATAATGTCTTCAGTAAAACGTAAATATTAAAATAATTTCCATATTAAAGTAACTGTCGTTTTCGGTTACTTGACGTTATTAGTGAATACATGCCTAGTATTCGATGTCATAATGATGTGTGCTTGCTACCCGGGGTAGTAACAATTAGTAATACAATGTAACAATAGTAGTACAGATATAGTGGTAACAATAAATATTATTATTATTATTATTAATACGAGAGAAAAAAATTACTTATTAAATCACCAAGAACATTACGGGGCAAGTTGCGAAGAATCATAATATCTAGCAATCTTTGGCTACCATGGAATAGAATTTCTTGATTTAAATGACCTAAGGGAGTATTGGAAAACATAAGAAAGTATATACTTTATCAGCTTATCGTTTTAACATCTTAGGAATTAGTTAATAATTCAACCTTCTTATTCATTCTCATTGTTTTTAACTAACCCGAAAGAGTATCAGATATAATATTCTCTTTGAAGAAACAATTATAGTAGCGATACTTGTAATAGAAAATCAGCTTGTTTTGTAAATATAGCGGAAGCTTCTTCTGATGAATGTATTCTTTTACTTCGTGTATGATCCGTTGATATTTGAGTTTTGGTTTTGCAGACGATTCCAAAAGTTGCAGGATCGTAACTGCGATCATAAGAACTGTCTCTTACTGTCGAGTTAATATTTATTCTATTTATATTTGTAAAACGACTAAAAGATAACATTATCTTAATAAAAACAAAAAAATTGTTACGAAATGCAATATTGGAAATTTAACGTAACAAGGAATGACTTAATACCAATCAAATAAATTATGTAGCCTTTTCCTATCAGAAGAAATATGCATCTTATTATTGTGTCCAAAATACCAAAACTTTCGAATTCTATAAAATTGGAACCTATAAAATTACTCATGCCAATATGCACAAACAGTAAATAAACTTCCCAGTCGGATATATTATGAAGTTTTGTCGAAACATAATTTGCATCCGAGTTCTGAAATTATTTCATATAAATAGGGAGATAGTGTATAATTATTTTTTATTTATTCAGCGTTTTAATACAAAGTAATTAAAAAATGTTCTTGACAGACCAATTCACTTATAGAAATCATATCCGTACTTCCAAAGTTTTTCCTCGTACATGCATGATGACGTATGGAAAAACATAACTTATACAGCTACTCCAATGAAAAATTAGTAATGTTAAAATAATAAACCACATTGTTATATGTTGAGCTTGAGAGACCCCAAAACTCTATTAAAGAATAATACAAATTGATTTATTTATAAAATTAAAAAAAACATTAATATTTAAATGATAATTATATAATTATAAATTACTGCAGTGATGTGCTGAACATTTCGTCGTACTGTAGATATGCGAATCAATTTTAAAATAGGCAAGAATTCAATTATAAGTAATAAAGAATTTGAATTTGGACCAGGCGGTAAGATAAGTGTTGGGTAAAACCATGCGTATGGTACCGAGCTGATAAAGTCAATGAAGAAGTATCCCTTTATATAATGTCTGCGTAATTATACAGTTTTCACTTTATATATTTAAATAAGTAAAGTAGGTAATAGTGAGAAATAATGATGAATTTAATCTTCCAGGCAACACCATGTAGCACAAAGATAACACATTATGTAACATAAAGCATCATTTAATGATCTTTCAAACATAATGACGATATTTTTAAAACATTTTTAAGATGTTTAAGACATCTCGGTCTTACATCTCAATTTTGAACATACGTGCTGTCTGAATTTTACATTATCATGGCACAATCACCGTGCTATTAGAGTAGGATCAAGAAAAATCTCATGTCCATCTGGAGATACAAATCCAGTAATAAAATTCAGGAATATGTCAATAATACAAACAGTGTAAATTGGATAGACGATATTCCAATATTCAGAACTGCTGCTCTTTCCGATCCTGTAGAAGCACATAATATGTGGAATTGTTACAAAAATATATAAAAACGTTACAGTCATTATTGTGTCCCAGTAGAACCTATGGTAACGTATTCCCTGTTACACTTTGTACTCACACAAAATAGTCGAAAGCTGATTTCTTAAATTTTCATACCTCAACATACTACATGGGTGAATCGTCCATCGATGAGGTGATCTTGAGTGTCTTCTCTTTTCGAAAGCAACAGCTGTTTGGCTGCGTAAAATTAAACCTGTTAAAGGATGTCGAGTGGAAACAAGAACGAGCTTTTGAAGATTTCGTTTCCACCGATTGTAGAACCTCGCGTTTGGGGGTAATTTCGGCAGGTTGCTGCCGGATGTCTTCGGCAAGTCGCATATATGTGCGCGTAAATTCGTTCGTTTGATCAAGATACTCGAGTCTCGAATTGTCATTCCGTATCGACGCTGGTTGATTCGTCCTGTCATCAATGATAACAAACAAGATAAGACGATCGCTCAAGATTTTAAGGGTATATTCACGCAACTTGCATAGCCGCACAAGTCCGAATCTCCTCAGCGCTTTGATACCGAGAGCTGATTAGTGAAAAGCCGTTTGTGGGGGTAAATTTACCCCCACAATCAGTTTTTCACCAATCAGCGTTCGGTGTCAGAGCGTTGTTGCCCGTATGAGGGATCCGGGTTAAACGCGTATGTATAAAGAAAATTATCCAATCACATCCTGGGTTATCGCATACAAAATGCATAAACATAGCATACCCAAACAGCACCGATTGTTGCGGAAAATTTTCAGAAATCTTTCAATCTTTCACATTTCATATGCAACAATTCTGAAAGGATTCTGCAATATGTCATGAAATACTATTATATTGCAACGCACCTTACCATGCGAACCTCTTTTGCGATCGATCAGTTAAAATCCGACGAGCTATCGCGCGCAAAAGTCAGGGGTAGTTACAATATAAAATATTATAATTATATACGTGTATAATTACTAAAAAAAGATTTTAAAACCCGTGCACCTCAAACGGTCGTTCGATCCGAGGCCTCGGGCTCTGTTTTCAAAACTTCTCCTGTTACGACATCCGGTTCTGACCGTGAATCGAGCGAGATAAATTGATATTTATCAATTGAAATTTTCGAGATCTTACCAACATATAAATGTACGTATGTGTACGAGTAATTATTTAAAAACAGTTTGAAATTGTCGGCATGTCGGATTATTATCCCATACAGCACAGAATTTGCAGCAATATAGCTGCAAATTTGCTGTAACATGCAATTGGTTTGTTCCTGTTCCTGCTAGGAACTAGAACTCTCTTTCTCGCTTTCGTTAAATATCAAACATACATCTATCTCACTTTAAGTTCCAAAAGTGTATGTACACTAGTTCAGCCACAGAAAACAGAAACCTAATGTTGAGTAGTGCAACTTTCAGCAACTTTGTGTAGGGGATTATGTGACCATGGTGGAAGAAGGTAGGCGAGACAACTTGAAAGATGCGCAGTAAGACCAAAATTTAGGATCCAAATTGATTGGCTAGCTGATTGCTCTGAATTGTCGTTATGCGCATTGGTTGCGTTCAGCAGACTCAACAGTTTTGCAACAGTTTTATGATTGTCTGCTGAGATAGGACCATTCTTCTAGATCTAAAAGTATGATCCAATCAGCGCGAAGGAAACTTCCAACAGTTGCAAAACAAACGTTCTGCTGAACGCAGCCATTGTCTCACTTGTCTTCTTCCACCATGATTATGACTATACTATATGATATATAAAGACAAGGGTATGCTCATCCGCTGGTAGACCATTGTGCAGTCAAAGTGTGATGTCACGCTTTGCAAATTTAATTGGTCGCATGCGCGTGAGCATACCCTTTTGCTAGATTCACCCTGCATCCGATTTTCGTCGTACGACAGATGCAGGGTGAATCCAGCATTTTCTTTATACCATGATTATGACTACCTTTATTGAATCGCAGAGAAATCACATCAAAAAACAGTCGAAGGTGTGTGTGTGTGTGGGTGTGTTAACTGTATATCGCGACATTTCATATGTTAATAAATAATCCCATTTATTTTCAAATGATTCTATATATTAGTAATAAATACCAATAACACTTTTTAAGCAAATTATGAAGCCTAAGAATTCAATTTTCCGTTCTGTAAGTAATATTGGAATGTTCTCATTATTTTTTAAAGAAACTATGTATTTAATATACTCATCAATTTTGTTCACAATAATTGGAAAATTGTCTTTTGATATACATTTTTGGGATTCAATTTTGTAAAATTTATTTCGTGAATTTAAAAGACCGAATATATCATTCAGTATAAAACAGAATTGAGTTGTTAGGTCGCTTTTTTTTAAATTGAGGCATTTTACACTCTTTATCTAGATAGGTTAAAGCATTTACAACGCTAGTACAATGATTTTACATTACAAAAAATATATTTATCTATTATTTAATATCTTATATATAATAAATTTATATGTAAAGACATCTTTTGAAAAAGAACATATAAATTTTATGTTTTATAAGCTTATATTACTTTATGAAACATATATCGAATCCATTTTTGAGAATAATACAACCTTATATTTTTTAGGGTGAATTATATATATTTACATAAAAATTATAGCATTATTATGTGTCCGTAAGATTTTTAATTTTACCTTTTTCTATTACTTAGTGCATTCTCTTTCATCTTTTCATAAATTGAATTTTGATCTGGATTAACTTTGGATTCTTCTTCCACGTTTTCCATTCTATTAAAAATTTCTTCAATGTTTTCTAATCTGTTAGAATTAAATTATATATGTATATCTCTTCTCATAAATTTAAAAAATCAATATGCGGTATTCTACAACTCAACTACAAGCTACTACAAATTACTCAACTATTTTTTGTTGAGTACCGCATTTATTTTATTTTTATATTTTTATAAATGCTACAACCAAATGTGAATCATATATTTTATTTAAATGTAGATACCTCACATTATTTTATAATGGCATTTGTTCTTTATTACACAATCTGTCTTGTCAATCAAACGTTTTCATTTCAGTAAGCGTCAAAACTGATTTGTTATATATTTTCTCGTGTTCGCTAACTGTTGGATGTATTATGTAATTAGTATTGATTTGTTTAAGACATCCTATTAATTGCGAGTTACTTTCTATAGAAAAATACATACATAATATTATTAAGATATTTTATCACATGATAATTCTACGATAATTCTTATAATTAAATTTCTATATTATAGAAACAGAAACATTTTTAACTACAAAAACATTACCTTTAATATTATTTTAATTGCCAGTACATAAATAGGACAGCTGTGAGTAGCAAAAATCTTCTCCGTGTCACATTACTACTACTACTACTACTACTACTACTACTACTACTGCATCGAAAAAATATTGCTTCAAAATGTTTTGAACTTAGTTCGGTGATTTTACACACGGTTGTTCTATTAATAGGTTTAAGCCATAATAAATGTTTCTCAGAATCCTTAGGAAAGCTAGACGTTATGATTTTATAGTCTCTACTGTGATTCATCGATTCGCTTACTGCTTAAGGGCTATAGCACACAAAAATACTTAAGCAGTAAAACGTAAGCACTAATGATTAGCCAATCGTTAATTACACCAATTATTAATAACGCCCCTAACTAGGGGGGATGTGCAATGGACCTCGCTTCGTGTAAAAAGTCGAACATCCGTAAGCAGGGGGGTATAAGGTGGACTTCGCTTCACATGAAAAGTCGGACGCCTCTAAACAGGGAAAGAAGTGGGGTAGACTTCGCTTCGCGTGGAAAGTTATTACACAAGGAAGGGAGGATTTGGAATAATAATTTGTAACATGTAGCAGAAATAAGACGTTTTTTTAAACCTTTTTTGTTAATAATTTTTTAACGAATAACGAGTGACGGATAAAATCTGTCGGAGGTCAGCATTATGATCTTGATAACATATGATCATCGAAGCGGGGTTCCCTGATCGAAACTTTTACCATAACTAGTAATAAATCCAACATAATTTCTTTAGGGTGTCCGCACACACTTTTCATAACAGTAATCGTAAGCCGTACCGTTAGAATTAGTCAAGAATTTTCAAAAACTTTCAGCTCTGAATGGCTAACTCTTTCTATAATAAGTCATTATCTAAGCTTTAAGTCTTAAGCCGTAAGAAATTGACCAATTACAGTTGAATGTGAGAAGAATAATTGACTATGATTGGTCAATTTCTTATAGCTTAAGACTTACCCCGGATCTACAATAGGTGTTTTAAGTCTTAAGTCGTAAGAAATTGACCAATTATAGTCGAATTCGAGGAGAATAATCGACTATGATTCGTCCATTTTTTATGGCTTAAGGCTTAAAACTCTATTGTAGATCCGGGGTTAAAGATTGGTCAATTTCTTATTACTTAAGACTTAAAGCTTAGGTAATGACTTAATAGGGAGTTTTTGCAATAACGTGGCTTCAGATACGGTGAACGCTAAAGTCACGTTATCCTTTTCTTAATAAAGTTGAAAACACAATGAAAAGCACAGGCAATAGGAACAGGAAGTAACAAATTTCTTATCAGAAACCATGTATACTAGAATAGACGCTTTCTGATAGGTTGAAATCTCTTATTTTCTGTTCCTTATTGTCTGTGCTTTTCATTATGTTTAAGACTTTAGTTGTTAAGAAGATAACCTGACTTTAGCGTTCACCGTATCTGAATAAACAGTATTGCAAAAACTCCTTATTGTAGAAAGCCCATTTACGGTACATCTTATGATTATTGTTATGAAAAGTATGCGAACCCCCTTACCGCTTATAAGCCCTACCACATAGAAATACTTAAAACGTAAAATGTAAAACACACTCACATACACGCACATACATCCTTTTTACAAATAAATTTTTATACAAGTTTTTCTTTTAACAGTCTTATGATATAGCTCGATACACGGATTATCTGGCGGATCATCCTGAAATAAAGCAGCTAATCGCGGATTATATCCAGATTCTTCTTGTTGGTAATAAATTCATTCCCTAGATAAACTCTGCACTCAATCTACTTCGACAAGCGGTATTTAATTTTTCATTATCAATTTTTCAGTAAAACCTGTCAATGCCATAGATTTCACGATACAGCACTTCAAAGCATTTTGCCCAAAAATTGAAGGTGTGGGATACCGTCAATATATTGACAATGTAATCTGACATAAATCGGTATCTGTCGAGAGATTAATCTGACCCTGAGGCTTTTGCGGGATCTGTATAAAATGCAAAATTAATAAATTATTGTTTTGATAACATAAATAAATAAAGTTCATAAAAGTTCATAAAAGAGACAACTTTATTTTATTCGTAAAATAGTTCACAAAAGTTAATAGCTATGTATATAATCAATAATACATAAAACATCAAATTTATCAAATGGTATGCACAAATTTTTTTTATTTTTCAGTATGCTGGATATATCAAAATGTTTGCTCATAATAAATTAAGGTGCTCGTAATACTCCATCCTATCCCATATTTTTTTAACAACTTTTTCTTTACAAACTTTTTCTTTATATTTAATTCAAACTATTAAATAAAAAAACGGAAATGTGAGTAATTCATAAAATGCAATGTCATTATTTTTATTAAGCAAAAAAAGCAAGGACTTTAAATTAATTCATAAAAATCTTTTTCTTTGTTTTCTATTTACAACTATATTAAATTATGACATCAGGAGCGAAGAATCATTATAAATTTTATTCTGGCATTATACATATATCGAAATAAATTAAATTTGTTATATATTATAGTATGTGCACTTCCATGCAATCACATATAAATTAAAATTCATTTTTCATAAATAATTTTAATTTATTCAGGTAATTATTTACTTTAACGGACACCACGCCGATGACTTTGACCTTGACATATGTTGTCAAAGTCATAATCCCGAGTAACTTCACCTTAACAATTAAATGGCGGTCTATAGTTTTTGAGATATTTACAGTTAAAGTGCAATTTTAGTGCCTTGCGTCTATCAGGAGACACGGTTGAATCTCAGCACTAAGACAAGCAACACTACCGTGTTCCTTTACGCGGGTCGGCGAGTTGCGGAAGATCGATTTATTGGATCTCAATAAAGGCTGAACCGATCAAGTTCTAAAAATTATCATATTTCCGTAAAAATAAAAATAAGGAGTATCAAACTACGAGTTGACGATTACGATTGACGGTTGCCAACCTATTATGGACTCGCTACATCGTGATTGATTGAAGAAGAACCGGGCAACCGTAATCTCGCAAACACAAAAATGCTATAGACCTAAATGCTATAGACTTAACTAACCAAGTTGAATTATATAAAATTAAGAAGTAAAACCCAAGTGGTACCATAAGTAAATAATTACCTTTATTTATTAATTGTTATACAAATGCAACATAGTCTCGACCACACCAAAATACTTGGTTGAAATACACATAGTATTAGTCCTTGTAAAGCTTCCGATTTTGTACATGTTGCATAATGAAGTAGTTTACCTTTATCATTTTCTGCCAGGAGTCATTTCTTTTTGCGAATTGCATATCACACAATTTTCCTGAAATTTAAGAGTACTATAATAATTCATAAATAATGAAATAAAATCAGCATAAACGAAATATCATACGTACGACCAAATCAAAATTAGGTAGACAATCTTCGTGAAAACAATGCTTACAATAAAATACAACTATATTCCGCGGCTCTAGAGAAAAAAAAAGTGAATTATAATCATGTAATTAGAATTATAAGTAACTAAAAAACTAATTACTTATAAATACCTCTTACAATTATTTTCCTATGGCAAGCTCCACACATTTGATCATCTGCAAAGAAAAAAATTCAATGATACTTTTTACATGAAAAATAGTTTACTATATCACAAAGAATAGCTTACTGTATAATTCAGTGATGTGCAAACCACGGCCCGCGAACCGCATAAAGCCAATTAATTTTCTGCGGCTCGCCGGCTCATAATAAAAAATATTAAATGATATTTTCTATTTTATGTAAACTATCAAAATAATAACATTATGCCTAACAGTTTAACAGATTCTCTCTCTCATTTGATATAATTTTAAAAAAACTTGTTATAGAAAGCCCATAAGATATTACTTAAGACAATCTTAAAATAAGAACGGAAGAAATATGAATATCACTTTTTGTGTATGTATCATAAATTTATACCTCCATTTTCGACATCGCGATTTAGCACAGATTTCCACCACATCTATTTACGATACCCCGATTTTATGGTCAGTATCCCAAGTAGCACACAGCGCCTACAAAGCGTTAAAAAAGCGCTAGGAAAAAATGTATATAAGCGCCTTTCTTAGCGCTGTACAGGCACTGCTGTAGATTAGACAAGAACGAATAATCAATTGATTGTTCGTCCTTGTCTAACCCACATAATAGCATGGGAGAGAACTAGAAAAACATGGACCATTACCCTACGAAGTTTAATATACGAAAAAGAGGGGACCGGGATGATCACTCTCTGGTTTTTTTCTGAAAAAACGCGCCTCTCAGGTTTTTTTCTCTCAGAGAGATACGAAACAAAACAACTTTATCGACTGTGACACTATAACACAAATGAAACGAACACCAAGCTGAATCGACGTGAGGGCATGTAAAAATATCGCACACAAAAAACTTAAGATGGGGTACATCCGCGAATTGAAGTCAGAATTTCTTTTGAAATCAAATTATTATATATATTATACTAGAAGACTTTGACTGCGCTCAGCAGAGAAAACAGCTTTGCAACTGTTGTAAAATTCTTCAATACAGTCGGTTGTTACTTTTGAATCCTTCTGAATTTAAATGTATAAACCAATCATATTGAAGAATTTTACAAAGCTGCTTTCTCTGCTGAACTTTGACACGCTTGTGCAATTACAATGAAATTGACCGTTTCAATATTGAGATACAAGCAATTAAAAACTGCACTTTTTATACGTGTCGTCTAACAAAGTTCATAAAAATGTCACATTAATTTTGGCACGCGCGTGCGTGCGTGCGTGCGATATTGATGTAGTACGAGCGTGCGCTCGTAGTGCGTAGTGATACATAAATGACATATAAATGGTATGTGTAAGTCCTATTGGGTACCTATCGTGGAACGAATCGGAATGGATTCATATTGGAATTATTCAATTATTCTCTAGATTTTTATTATGTTTTCTAGAGAAAATGGAATAAAATTCCGATCGGAATCCATTCAGACTTGTTCCGTGATAAGTGTCGGAATCGGTAAAATAGACGACTTTAGAATTTCTTTGAGTTTTCTTTGTACATATGCCATAGCTCTTACATGTGCGCTAATCAAAACTGCATGTTATGTACGTATATTGAACTTCTTTAAAAACAAAAATTTTAATTTTCCAGAAATTTTTGCAAAATTCCCTGATTTTTTTCTAATTTCCTTGATCGTTTTCAATTTCCCTGACATTTCCCTGATTTTCAGTTTTACAGCAACCTTATTTTTATTTTTTGGAATCAATTATTTAATAAAATTGCATACCATCGACAAATATGCCGTTTTGATGACAACGAACAAGTCGCTCGTGGAGATTGAAATAATCGTTGGACAGTATTTTTTTACAACCTTCCTGCACGGACACCTGCAGATTGTAGTCGCACATCATTTTAACCAATGCTTTCTTTAAACCTGGAATTTCCAAAGTAGGTTCTATTCTTTGCACCATAAGCCTAGGATCAACGTAAGTGCCGATTTTTTGAAGGAGGAATGTAATAGCCGCTGAAACATATAAAAATTTATTTTGAATTAAACTTTATTTAAATTTTATTGAATTTGAACTTTTTTGGAACTTTAAATTCGAGCATCCAAAATGCTCTTCAACGTCATGATTTGATGCATACCAGGTTTGTCAAGTGAGTAATTAATTAGATCATTCCACAACTCTTCATCGTCATGTTCCTGACAAAATACAATTGCACTTTCCATGTCGTTGAGTTCTCTCGTCATGAGCGCCAAGGCTTCTGAAGTGTTTCCAATTCTGCCCAACAGATACACCATTTCTGGATAAAATCGACGTTGGCTACAAATATCCAGAGCCTGTTGTATCGGATAATTATCAGAGCGACGTAAAAGCGGTAATAACTTGTCTCTCGAATAATCGGCATACAATCGTACCAGAAGACCATGGTACTTGCCCTTCGAATCCTTCGTGTCTCTCTTATCTAATGCATCTAGATACTGAAAAAGAACAAATTATATAATTAAATTATATAAGAAAATAATTATTTTCAAAATGAAGTCCCTATTTTAATAATACTATATATTTAAGAAAAACAAAATTTAAAAAAATCACAAATGTTACGGTTGAATTACAAAATATTAAATGTTATTCATAAATATATGCATATTTCTCACATGAAAATTGTATTATATTGATTCTAAATATAAATAACAATTACCAAATATAAATAACGATGATTATGTTGCAATTTTTGTACAACCATGTCAGACGGCACTCTGTCTTTCTCTAGAAAAAATTGTATGGCACGTTCTGTGTCCAGATCCATCAAACCTTCGATCATATCGTATACCGAATTATACAACTGATACTTTTGGATCAATTGGAAGACATCCTTGTGCCGCAGCTTCAAATACATAGCAAGCGCTTTATCGTATTTGCCGTCGTGGATGTATAAAATGGCTAACGCTTCTAATAATACGTTCTGTCGTTGATTGTGAACGAGTAAATGTTCCAATACGCCGTTAACTACCGCCGCCACTGTATATAAATTTGGAGACCATTCCTTGACCAATTGTAAAAAACCGTCAGGATCCATTTTTAGATATTCATATAGCACCATTTCATAGATTAATGGATCGAGAATAACGTCACCCCGAGGCAAGTAGGACGAAATTGAACGCAACTGATGCACTCTAGCAAATTTGTAAACCTGTCTCGAGGCAAGAAAGAAGG